GGAAGGTAATTTGAGATGATGTTTTCTCCTGAAAGTGCCTTTTAAAACAATTAGAGTAGCTTTGAGAGATCATGGGTTTGGAAATAACTAAAATGATGATCACTTTAAGGCAATTTTTAAACTGTGTTTAACTCAATGCTTCAGATTATCTCCACGCCACCTGAAACTTATAGAAAATTTTGTCCTTTTTTTTTTTTTTTTTTTTTTTTAAGAAAGAGGACCCTTTGCTTTTATTCCTTTCTCAAGAGATCAATGATCTGGCAAACAATTGCCCCTAGGATGCCCATTAGGATGAACATGTAGCACAAGATTTTATGGACTACTACGAATTTATTTACACAGGTTCTTCCAAAAATTCATTTAATAAAAGCAGTTTTTTGTCATTGCAATCATCTTTTGCAGTTTGGGGGAGAAGCAATAGGAAAGGAATCAGTTATCTTTTAGGGGCAATTAGTAGTTAGGGCAGCATCTGCCAGGAGGAAGAGAGTACCTGTGTGAGTCTGGATTCATTTGGAAAGTGCCTCAATTGCAGCTCCCTATGAAGTCACGGGGGAGGTCAGTTGCCGGTCAGCTGGCCAACTTGGTCGTGACCTCAGGGGAGATGAAGTGGAGAAAAGCACAATTGTTCCAGCTGTATCTTCTGTGCAAATAGATTTCAAGACAAATTAACATGGCTGGCCAGAGCCGCTTCACTTTGGACATTGGCATTCACGTCTCAGTGTTATTTCTGTGCAGTTCCACTCATAGCATCCCAGAATTAAAGCTCAACAGAACTTGAGCTCTGTGAGAGATCCTTCTATTGCTGTGCTTGTACAAGAAGAGTAGGTAGGATGTGGTAGCCAAACTATGGTCCACATACAAGCCAGTTAAGCTGGCCTTTGGGCTGGAGATGCTCTAAAGTGAGACCCAGAGAGGTTAAATGGCTTGCCCACGATCAACAAGCTAAACAGTGGAAACATAGGAAGGAAAAGCCAGATTTCCTAGTTCCTAATCTAGTTTCTTGTTTCTCATATGGCCCACTCTTTCGATCAGGTATTTGCTTTTACCCTGTTTTGTACTTTACTGGCCTTATTTGAGAAGGTTTTCCATTTTTTCCATTTTTCTTTTTAATTTCTCCCTGAAACCTGCTTTTAGAATTATAAGGCCTTCTTTTTCACCCCAGTTTGATCTCTCTAGGTGAAAAACATTCCACTTTCATCCACTGTCAAGTACTCACTCTTCTAAAAAAGATACAAATTGTTCAGAGGTTTAGCCTTAGTGATTTGCAAAGTATCTGGCATAGAGTAAGCATTGGATGAAGTCTGTTGTTTGAAAGTTATTAAACAATTGTGATTTAATGCATCAAGTTTCCAACTGGAAGAATAAATCATCTGAGTGGTTAGTGGCTTAAAGTTCAATTGAGGAAAGTCCCAGAAAAACAAAGACCACTCAAATATAAAGGTGACCTTGGGTGCTTTATTCTACTTATCTGGATTGTGTTGTTTAATAAAGAAAGAAGTCAATATCAACACTATTTTCCTACAAGGTTGTTTTAAGGATTATATGCTCATGAATGGACATGACAGATTAAAACAGCAATATAAGACATTAACTATTTCTTTTTTAATATCAGCACTAATTCTATTTGCTAGAATGCAAAGATAAATATGGTCCAGACCTTGTCATTCATAAGCTCATGTTTTTCGCTTTATCCATTTGTCTGTCTGGTAAATTTGCATTCCTTAGTCCAGTGATTCTCTTGGCACAAATGTCTGAGATATTTTTGTCGTCACTGCTGGAGGTTTGCTACTGACACTCAGTGGTACTGCGCATTCTACAATACGCAAAGCCCCTGCAACAAAGAATTGTCCAACCCCTAATATCAATAGATTTGAGAGTGAAATACACTGCGTTTTGAATAAAATTGTCTGTAGTATCTTGACTCACTAAAAACATTAGTTCTATGTTTTCTGTATTCTCCTAAGCATATACACAGACATGTATTGGCACATCATTAATGTTAGAGAGATTATGTTCCATTTAACTGCAAATCCACGGACAGGGAGTTTGCCTTTTGTTACCTTTGTGTTTACATGATATTCACACATATTGGACACAGAATTCATTTGTTTATTCGTTCATTCTAGACATTTTTGGTTTTGAGTATCTACTATATGCCAGGCCCTTTTCTAGATTCTGAGGATATATTACTGAATAAAAATGACATGATGGAAATTACATTCCAACAGGTGGATGTACTTATTATGAAGGGTGCTTCTTAGAGTAAATATTAGATACAATAGCCAAGGTCACAGAGGAATAATGATTATGACCTTCTAAATTCACTGAGCTAGGCTGCAGTGACTCAGAAGTGAGAAACAGCTGAGTAGATTGTACTAATTTGTTGATAGTGATATGAATTTGTGTGTATCTCACAGGTTAGTGTCACATGTAAAAGTACCTGTTTTACTAAGGGACACCATGTTTGTATAAGCATTCCTTGTCAACTGTCATGAAGATGCAGACTACCTCATCACCAACCTTTATACCACATAGGAGTTCCTATCATGTTCTAGGTAGTAGGTGAACCAGAACTCAGATGTGAAAATTGATTCTGGCTTTTAGAAAAGAATTTAGGCATCAGGAAATAGGAAGAAAAGTTTGCTCTTCTTTATGTTTGTTTGTTACCAAACATATGATGTGTTGAATAGTGAGATGAGTCCTTTAAGTGAAATTTGGCTGGCCTGTCACAATATTAAGATGTGCATTCTCAAGCAATAGAACTTAGGAGAAATGTGAAGGAAATTAGAAATTTCATTGGGGATGCTGATGGAATGTGAGAAAATCATGTCCAAAGCTAGGGTCTGCAAAAACTTTCACCTAGAATAGGTAGTTCTCTCTCCCCACTCCCTAGGAGGCAGTTCTAGAAGAAAACAGGGAAGCATTTCTGGCTTTTGTGAGGTTAAGGACCTTCTGCCTTCCAGATGTCTTTAAAAGTGAGAGACAGTTCTGCAGACAGAAGTCATTACTCTGCATACTCTGACTTTCGAAATCCCTGTTCTAGTTCAAGTAAAGGAAACACTTTTTAATAAAATCTACCCCCTTCTCTCTTTTTCTTTTTCTTTTTTTTTTTAAGTAGAAACACAAAGCAATTTTTGCATGGCTTAACACTGATTTTTTTTTTTTTGGGGGGGGGAGATATACCTACTGTGTAAATCAAAAGAAGGTCATACTATTTTTGTTGAGAATTTTACTAAAGTTCATCATTTTGAAAAATCTTATCACCAATAGCAATACAAATAAAGCATATATGTATTAGCTTGAATTTGTAACTGTCATAGTCATAATGACACTAATTTCACACCAATTACACTCCCATTTTTCTGAAGTTTATTCTATTACAACGTATAGTTTATGAGGTATTTGACTATTTGTTATTTCTTTTAGGATAGTCAAACTTGATCATTTCTATATTGACATACACATTCTTTCATTTAAAATGATTATGTTTTTCTTGCCCCTTTATATTATAGTTAGGACATTAAATTGAATTTTTTAAAAATATATGTGAAGTGTAAGTTATATAAATTTTTATTTCAGATTGGCAAATAGGTACAACATAAAATATTTGTTTTTAAAAAGAGGGACTGTAGCTGCTAGATTAGAAATCACAGGCTTGGGTGGAGGAGTTCAATTCACTTTATTTGTTGAGCACCTGCTGGGTATGGTAGGGTGGGTAAGTAAACATTGTCTCTACCTCAACAAGTGCATCAATCTGTGGTTAGGTCAGACAGATTTTATTATCGAGAATGAGAAATATCGTAGCTAAGATCTCAGTCTTAAGGGGGATAAGGATCCAAGCACCTCATAGTCTTTACAAAATGAGTCAGAGCATAAATTAATCAATAGAGAACCACTGGACCCAACAGAAACAGCAGACCAGCACTGTGATTTTCCCAGGTCCACCCAAACTGATTGCCCAGAAAGATAAAGTAACCAAAATGCATGTTGTAGCTTTTTATTTTATTTATGTGTTTTGGCCAAGATTTAATAACTTTCAGGGCTTATCACACTGAAGCAGAATTGGGAAATTAACACATTGGCAGCCAACAAATACCCATTTAATTTCCCATGTCCAATATATCCTACAAGGAAGTTTTCCCAGTGTTTCACTGTATTTTTATGACATGATGGCAAGGTAGTTTTTATTATCTACATTTTACAAATGTGTAAGTCAGGGCTCAAAGATACAGTGACCTAAGATTCATCATTGCTGTTTCTGTAGCAACTGTCACTGTGAAATGCAAAATTTTCTGAAATTTTTGACGGCATAGCTGTCAATTTGCTGAACATTTAATCAATACCCTCTATGTAAAAGGTATTGTATACCTGGAGATGTGAGAGAGAAAAAGACAAATATAGTTATTTGCTCAGCCTACAACTATTAATATGTGAGCTAAGAAGGAAGAAATACTTGATCATGGGAATTATAGGGCAGAATATAAAAAGCTCAGCAGTACAAAGGAAACAACCCACTAGGGAGCAGAGGAGCAAGAGAGACAATTTTAGAGTAATGGGAGAATTTCACAGAGATCACAATTTAAAAGATGCTTGAAGAATGGATAGGATTTTTGTTGCTGTTTTTGACTGAAACAACTAACTGGTAACATTTTCAGAGAGGCCAGTAGTTTGGTTTGACTTTGGGAGCCCTGGAATGTGATGCATGCTGAAAGAGGAATTTTTTTTTTTTTTTTTAACCTGTAAACACAAAGTGAGTATTTGCTTTGTGTCTCAGTGGCAGCTTTTAGGTTGCAGAGTAATGACCCTTGAAGCAGAATTACAGGAAGAAAACTCTAGAGTTTATGCAGAGGATGAATTTCTCTGACTGGGGAAGCCACCCAAAGGATTAAAGCCCCCAAAGTATCACATCCTCTTTTCAGAGGATTACATCCCCTAAAGAGAGATATTGAAGTCCTTGCCTCTGGTACCTACTAATGATGTGACCTTATGTGGAAAGTGAGTCTCAGCAGATGTAATCAAGTTAAGATGAAATCATTAAGGTGGGCCATAGTCCAGTATGACTGGTGTCTTTATAAGAAGAGGGACATTGGACACAGGCACATCGAGAACAGCATGCGCTGACAGAGGCAGAGACAGAAGTCAGCCCCATAGGAGCCAAGGAACACCAGGACGGCCATCAGCCTCTGAAGTTGGGAGAGGGGTGTGGGATGGATTCTCCCTCAGAGGCTGCAGGACCAACCTGCCGACACCTTGATTTTGGCTTCTACCCACCAGAACTGTGAGACAGTGAATGCTGTTCTGAGTCACATGGTCTGTGGTACTTCCTTACAGGAGCCCCAGGAGACCCACTCAAAAGCTGTGGGCTTTTCTCCTCCTAGGATGAGATGGCACTCCACAAACTCAATTATTTTCTGTCTGGTGAAAGGAAAAGAAAGTTATCTTGGAAGAGGAGAATGAACAAGAAAATATGAGTAACTCAGAAAGCTTCTCTTTAATTACTGACAGCAACATAGGTGAAGTGAAGATATCATACTGTGTGAGTGAGAGATGGACTTTAAATCTGAATTGAATTCAAATTCCAACTCCCTTGTTGTACCCACTGTGGGACGTGGCTGTGCCATTTACCTGCGTCTCTTTTTCCCTTTCTATTACATAACGACAATAGAACATATCTCGGGTAGCCGCTGTGTGAATTAAAGGAGCTAATCCATGTCATACCAGCACAGCACCTGGAGGTGTAGTATATACTCAGCAACTGGGATCTAGCAGTGCGCATGGGAGCATCTGCACTAGTAGAAACAGTATTTGTGGGACAGGAAAGCTTTTCTTAGAAGATTAGGAAAGAGCTACGGGGCCTTGTATGGACCAGAAGACAAACATATGCTTCTGGTTGGTTTAATTCAAAGTTTAAATAAGAGAATGAGGCACAATTTTATGCTAGGAATGGCCCAAGACCTCCATCCTTCTCTTACCTTCCATCTGTTGCCTCAGATTCTCCCTCTAGCCCTGGAAGGGCAGATGATGAGCTCTCCCTGGTTTCTATGAATCTCTTCTGCAGAGTTCTAGGCTAGACTTATTTTCTATGCGAGCTTCTTTTTTTAATTTTTATTTTACTGTAAGTTTTGGGATACATGTGCATAATGTGCAGGTTTGTTACATGGGTATACATGTGCTATGGTGGTTTTCTGCACCTATCCACCCATCGTCTAGGTTTTAAGCCCCTGGTGCACTAGATATTAGTCCTAATGCTCCCCCTCCCTGTGCCCGCCACCCCCTCACAGGCCCCAGTGTGTGTTGTTCCCCTCCCTGTGTCCATGTGTTTTCATTGTTGAGCTACAACTTGACAGCGACAACATGCAGTGTTTGGTTTTCTGTTCCTGTGTTAGTTTGCTGAGAAAGATGGCTTGCAGCTTCATCTATGGCCCTGCAAAGAGTATGATCTATTTTTTTTTTAATGGCTGCATAGAATTCCATGGTGTATATATACCACATTTTCTTTATCCAGTCTATCATTGATGGGCATTTGGGTTGGTTCCAAGTCTTTGTTATTATAAATAGTGCTATAATAAACATATGTAATAAACATATTTATAATCCTTTGGATATATGCCCAGTAATGGGATTGCTGAGTAAAATGGTATTTCTGGTTCTAGATCCTTGAGAAATGTGAGTTTCTTTATTTTTCCTAGTTTGCTCCTACCTATGACTGACTGCTAGTGTCTTAGGAATTCTCAGTCCATTGCCTGTCTTTACTGGGGCACCCATTTCTTCACAAACATGCCTTCCTGTCTGGCCTGCTTTGATCTGTGGATGATCCATCCTAGTATTGCATATATAAAAGAATGCTTTTAATGGAGATTTTGAATATACTTTTTATAATGACCAAGGCCTGTGAATGATTTATGATATTGGATTTGATCTCTCTTCCTCTGCTAAGTCCAGACACTCAGGAACCCAGGTCTGAACTCACCTGCCACAGCCTTGTGCACAGAAACCCAAGCAAGCAGAGGCTTGGCTTTAAGCTTTGAAATGACTCTTTATTTGGATGTATTTTTTCAAGTATAGACTGACAGTTTGGGATCAAGTAATGACTTACATGGAGGTTTTATATTTATATTTTTATTTTTTTTATTTTTTTTTCCCCAAAGCTCAAGAGAGTTTGGTAAAACTATTCAGTAGTTTTCTGGGCAAAATAATTGTTTCTGATTCTGTCCTTTTGCCCCTGGTGTCAGTCCCCTAACAGAAGCTGGACTGTAGTTTCACCTTCTGTAGTTTTAGTTATATACAATCAACCTCTGTCCAGAAACATTAAATGGAAGATAACAAAAAATAAACAATTCATAAGCTTTAGATTCCATGCTGCTCTGAGTAGGGTGATGATGAACTATCGTGCCATCCTGCTTCTTCCATCCCCCTCCATCCCACCTGGCATGTGAATCCTTCCTTTGTCCAGCGTCTCCATACTACCCATTAGTCACTTAGGATCCTTCTTAGTTATCAGATAGAGCATCTTTCTACCAAACGGCTTGTGTTCAGGTCACCTTTATTTTACTTCATAATGGCCCCAAAGTGCAAGAGTAGAGAGGATGGCAATTTGGATATGCCACAGAGAACCTATAATGTGCTTTCTTTAAGTGAAAAGGTGAAAGTTCTTTACTTACTAGAGAACTAAAAATGTCTGCTGAGGTCGCTAAGATCTACATTAAGAACAAATCATCTACCTGTGGCATTGTGATGAAGGGAAAAACAAATCTGTCGTAGTTTCACCGTCACACCTCAAACTGCAAAAGTTATGGCCACAGAGTATACGTGCTTAGTTAAGATGTAAAAGGCACTCAGTTTGTGGGTGGGAAATATGAACAGAAACATGTTCAGTTGATGGCAATTAGGTTTACCATTCTCTGTGGTTTCAGGCATCCCCTGGGGGCTTACAATGTGTCCCCAGAAAATAAGGGAGAACCACGGTATTTAATTTTGCAAGTAGCCCATTAAGGTGGGTGGGTCACCTCCATGAACGTTATTTCTCACTTGCTTAGATTCAGGGGATTTTGGCCACATCTTGAGGAAAGCCGTTCTAGGGAAGGCTCAGCAGAAGAGTTTCCAATTACAGAAAGAGGTATAAATTTTTGTTAACCTCAGATTCTCGATGGTTTCTGCCTTTAGGCTTAAAAGCTCAGTGCTGGCATGTAGGGCTACCAGCAGTGGTGGTAGGTCCGAACTGCAGGAGCAATCTCTAACATCACGGTGATAAGATGAGTGTACATGCCACAATGGTTCTAGATTCCTCAGTGAGAAGAGAGGGAGGATCTGGAAAAGTGACGCCAATCACTCCCTCCACAGGCTGAGCTTGCCTGATGGGTGCTCTGGGCTTAATCAATCAGATTTCTCTGCAAGAATGTCATCACTGAGGATGACACCAACTACTTCATTTATTCATTCATACTTTTGGAACTGACTTATCTTTTTCTGCCAGAGTTGGTGTAAATCAGTAGTCCTTGAACTTCCAGAACATGATCATCACCAAGAGGTTTTATGAAAACACAGATTGCCAGGCCCCACCCCCATAGATACTGATTCAAGAGGTGTCTTAGTCCCTTTGGGCTGCTTTAACAAAATGCCATACACTGGGTAACTTAAAAACAATGGAAATGTGTTGTTCATACCTCTGAAGACTAAGAAGTCCAAGGTAAAGGAACCAGCAGATTCAGTGTCTGGTGAAAACCTGTTCCTCATAGATGGTGTCTTCTATGTGTTTTCACATGGTGGAAGAGGCTGGCTTGTTCTCTGGGGTATCTTTCAAAGGGCGTGAATCCCATTTAGGAAGGCAGAGCCCAGCAATCTGTGTTTTAACAAAACCTCCTGGTGATGATGATGTTCAAGGTTCACGGACTACTGATACACACTAATGCTGGCAGAAAAAGATAAGTTCATTCCAAAAATGAATGAATTAATGAGGTAATAGGTGTCACCCTCAGTGATGGGATTCATCTCATGATCTAATCACCTTCCAAAGGTGCCATCTTCTTATGTCTTACCCTGGGTGATCAGGTTTTAACATAGACATTTTGAGGGACACAAACATTCAGACCAGAGCTAGCAGGCGGGTGAAGGGCCAGAGATGTGCATCCTCCCATGCTCCCAGGTGATGTTGATGGTGATCACATTTTGGGAAGGGTAGCTATTAGTCTGTCATTGTTTGTTTGGTTTTAAATGCTGTAAATACCAGGATAGAAGAGTTTAAAACTAGTTCGCATGAACATTCTGTTAAAATATACATGATATTGCTAAAAAGAAAATTATCTTGCCAACCCAAAGCTAGACATTATAAGTCATACATCTGCTAATATATTTTAAAAACTTTGCTTCTTGAAATCAAGTACTAATAAATAAAATTTTGATATAATGGAATGTATATTTCATTTAATCATTTAAAGATGTAATGTTAAAAATTAAAACTTTCACACTGGGTCAAAATATGTTGACTTTATTTTATGAATGACATAGAAGAATCTCTGGATCTGACTGTCTAACAGTCACTCCCATCCAGGGGTAGAAATCCAATGCATAAAGAAAATACAACCAACTAAAGATTAGTATGATAAGAATAAATAAAATTAAGAATTTATTGCAGGTTTGGAAATGTCCCAACTCCCTACTTAATATATTTTTTGAAAACAAGTTATTCATGATGAATGTGGAAAATTTTGGTTTCCATTGTAGAAGTCAGAAATCAAGGAAATTGGAGATAGAAAAATGTATGTTCCCAGCTGCTTCCTGGAAAATATTTCTCCTGTTGATTTAGCAAGCTTTGCATGCCCTAGGAGCAAGGCTTCAGTCAGTCTCTTCTGTTGTGTGTGTAATTCTATGGTCAAGTACCTTAACAGTTCCTCAAAACTCACTAATAACAAATATTCCAAAACAAACGGTTACACTGAGTGATACTATTCCCTTTCCATTTTTGAATAAAAGAAGTTAGGAAACTTTTAGTGGTGGTTAATCCAAACCTATTCATATTTGGCTTTAGAATGGATTTATTAACGTACAGTTTAATATGAGCATTTCTAAACTTGGGTATTAGAGCATTTCATGCAAAATAATGAAGTTTTCCTTTGGATCCTAATCGAGAGGTATTTAGTTGACTCTTTAGTAGTCTCTCTAACTATCCATTATTTCCTTCTGTACCTCATCTCTTCTTACGCCAAGGCAAGAGATCCATTTTACTTATATTCATGTCTCATTTACATTGCTTTTCCTTTCTTGCTTGGTCACCCTGGAGGTATAAAATGGGGGAATTAACATGGAGTTTGAGATAACATTTGATATAAAGGGAAATCTATACCTTATAGGGAGTACTGAAGTGAGTTGACTTGCCGTGCATTGGGCAATCATGGTATCTATCAAGCCAGAGGACAGGAATCAGGCTCAATCTATTTGGATACTAGTTTGCAACATGGTTGATGTGCAATTGATTAACTGATTTTCTTTAGTAAATGTTTATATAGTCATTTTAGAACAAGACATTTATCAACAAATTTACCAGATTGCTACTTTTGATGAACAGAGAACCAGGCACCCACTAGGAATTTATTTAGTGTTAGTAGTTGTGGTCCTTTTCATGATCTTTTCCCCAATTCCCTTGTTTTCTCCTGTTGGCAAGAGGGTTTTAAAGATGTGATTATGTTAGGAACATGGATATAGGGAGACTTTCCTGGATTATCCAAGCAGCTCATTATAGTTAGGGCTATGGTCCGAGAAGGAGATGAGTTTATGGAGGAAAAGCACAGAGAGATGCAATTTTGCTGGCTTTGAAAATGGAGCAGAGAGGCCATGAGCCAAGGAAAACAGGCAACCTCCACAAACCAGAAAGGGTCAGGAAACAGATTCTCCCTTAGAGCCTCCAGGAAGGAACACAGCCCTGATTTTAGCCCAGTGAGACCTGTGTTGGATTTTGGACATACAGAAATGTAAAACAACAAATTTCTATAGATTAAAACCACTAAGTTTATGATAATTTGATACAGCAGCAACAGAAAATTAATACAATGTAATAAGACTATAGGATATACTTTCATAATAACAACTAGTTAAGAGTTATAGTCTCTCTTTGAATCCATAATAGTAATTAGTCACCAACAAACTTGCAAAAACTCGAGATAATTTTCTCAATTGTGCACTGAAGAACATGGATATCCATTAGGGTGATGACTAGATAGAATTTGGAGAGGATGCTACTCTGAAAATGTGCTCCCTGTGTATTTTGCTGAGATCATTATAAGATTTGTGATTGCCAAGCAGGAAAAATCTCCTTTCTTTCCTCAAGCTCATCTTTCCAAGAATTTTAAAATATAAGAGCAAATATTAGCATTCCTTTATCTTTCTCCAAGTTAATATTCTTCATTGCTCTCAAATTGGTGACATAGAATTCTACATTTCTCAGAAGCTGAATGCAGAAATTCATAGCTTTGACCCAAGGTGTGATGTGTTGTTTGTTGTTTTGTTTTTGTTCCTCCTCTTCCTCCTTCTCTTTCCTCTTTGATCCAAACTTTAATTTCTTATTGCTTCCTTATATCTTCAGAAATGTGGTCTTAATTTCGTAACTTATGATATAGCATCATGGAATGCCCCTAGTGACATCATATGATGTTGTTTCTAAAATTGTTTCTGCTCACCACAACCAGCCTAGACTGAGCATGGGCTGCTTCCCTCTCTCCCATTTCAGGAGCACCCTCAAGTGGTTGGAGGTAAACTTTGTCCCTCCTTTTGGTTAGAGTCTCAGTCATGGGACAGATTAATAGTTTTGTGTCTAGCCATCATGTGGACAGGAGGTGTATTCTTCTTAGCACATTTTAGGGACATCTGTGTTGGTGGTATACATAAGACTGGCTAGCATATCCTCTTTTACCAAGAGCTCCTTACATATAGTTTCCCGCTAGTCATTTTGATGCTGACATAAGAAATTTAATGGATGTATCTTTAAACAAAGGCATTGACACTGTGCTTTAGCCCAGTGGTTTTCAGGCTTCAGTGAGCCTCAGATTCATTAGAGGAAGGGCTTGTGAAAACACATTTCCTGTGTCTGTAATATCTGGGATCATGTTTTTTCCTCTATATCCCCACTCCATATTCCCTCTCGAGCTTACAGCCTGAAGCTGTTAATCTTTTGCTCCTGCTAAAAATTTACCTTTCTGTCCTTAATTCATAACACATGAAGGATTTCGCTTAAGTTGATCTTCTCTTCCCCAGGCCTTGCTTTCTGATCCATGTCCCCTTGAGGTGCTCCACACATTCTGCTTCTTTGATCTTTTCCTTTAGCACATTTTCCTGGACCTATCAACATAGCACTTTAGAGCTAGAAGGAATATTGGTGACCATCTGGTAAAGCAACTGCATTTTTACCTGAGACACAGATGGAGAGTGGCATATTCATCCTCTGACTCCAGAGAAAGATACTGGAGGAAAAAGCTTAAACAATTTTGCAGTGCTAAAAGTTATTAAGATGTTATTACACCCTACTCCTAAACACAATCCTATTTATACATCAAGGACATGGCATGGAGGAATTTTCCCAGGAAGGCATTGTTCTTGCTCAACTGCTCAGACCCCTACCTATTCACATCCCCCATGCTTGCCTAATCGATCACGACTCTGTCTCATGTGCAGCTCTTAGATTGTAAGCCTTTAAAAGGGCCAGGATTTTCTTTGTCGGGGAGCTCAGTCATTGAGGTTTGAGCCAGCTGCAGCTCCTGGCCAAATAAAACTGCCACTTCTTTCCCCCACCACCCCAAAAAAGATGTTATTACAAAAATATAGCTTTCTTCCTCACGAAACTAAGAAGAGAAGCTAAAAATAACTCCAGCAGTGAAAAAGTAAAAGTTAGCAATGCAATGCATTTGAATATGCTAGGTTCAGGTCCAGGGAAAGCTGTCGATGGACCAGCTGTCCTGAGTCAACCAGTAGTAGCAGTAGTCATATCTACTACAAGGCCACATGTGACTCTTCCATATACAGGCTGGAGCCCAAGAGCAAGTAGCTAATTGGTATTGAAATATGTTGCAGGACAGGAAAGATAGGGCAAGGGTTGAGAGGCCCTTTCCAGAAACTTCACGTTTAAATGAAGCTACCTGGCTTCTCTGTACTCATCTTCATCCAAACACATGGCTGCAAAAAATAAAAAATAAAAATAAGTAAACATAAAAAAAGAGCCATACAGTCTCCCTTATCTCCTCTTTCTATGCCCACCACAGATTTCACCCCTGCATATCATCCTTAAAACATTATTTCAACATGTACCGCAGAACCTAAAGTACAATTAAAAAAAGAAAAAAACCCACACCTTATTTCTGATATGAATTTTGCTAATGGACTCCTATACTTAGACATAGGACTCTTTTTAGAAGGTGACCAGTTGTTTAATCATCAACTCAGGCATCAGAGAGCCTCACTTGATTTCTCAGTATTATTTCAAGTCTTTAGAATAAATGAAATAAGTCTTAGGATGAGTTTCCTTGTTAGTGGATAATGGCACAATGGGTGGAAACAGCACAGAAGATTTTATTAGACGCCCAGGATTCAATTCTGTCCCAGATGCTTGACTTTTAAGAACATCAGGCGTCTTATTTGTAAAATGGAACAATAATGGCAGCCTCAAAATTTTACAAGAACAAGGTGGGATCCTGTTTACAGAGAGTCTGGCACCTTACATGTACTCCAGCAGGTGCTCAAGCATAATAGCGCTCTTTATTTATAAAGTTTTGTGGCATAGCCATTATCTAATGCCACCACCATCCCTGTGAGGGGCAGGACCAGGACTAGGGTAAGGAGGGTGAGCTGAGTGG